TCCTTTTTGGGGTTGTAAAAATCTGTCTAGATTATTAACAGCAGATATAAAATGAAGGTTCATATTCGTTTCCGGACAAGTATGTGTATTTAGATTTAAAGTGTATTTGTCACATTTTTCTGAACGTATAAACAATGTTGATCGATCAATTAATTTCAATGATGGTACAATATTTTTACTGTTGTAGGGACTGAAACCAGTTAAATAATCATAATACTCTATTATATCAACCTGATTTTCCAAACCAAGATATAGACTATACTTTAACGACTTTAAAGTATCAATATCATTTACTGATAATAACATTTGTGTGTAATAATTTTCAACGAATCCATAAATTTGTACATTTTTGTAAAATTCAAATTCAAATTCTTGTGATTCGAAAAGTGATGCATCATTAGAATCAAAAATTGGCAATGATAACCAGTTTTTGGTTTCAATAATCATTCGTACTGGAACATTATTTGAAACAGATATCATAGGCACGCAATCAAAATTTGCTGTTAATGTTTTGGTGAAATTTCCCTTCCCCGTAAGATCCAATATGATTAATGTTTCATATGGAGAATCAGCAAGACAGTAAAAATACAAATTTTGTATTTGAGAAGAGGTTTCTACCGTTAAATTGAATGTTGTACCTCGTTTAATTATTATTTCAAAATGAGTTTTATAATGAGAGAATTGGTTTTGAATTGTATGACTCGTCCATGGTTCCGAAAATTCTCGAACTAAAGGCACGGCAATTCGTGTAGTCATCTAAAAGATGAATTTATAGTTATACGTAAAATGCATATTCTGATGCAGAAGATTTATCTTTTAATTAATATTTTAAAAACTTACGTTCAAATTCCATTGCAGTGTATTTTGTGATATTGTACTCGACACAAATATTAGAAGCAATTTTATGAATATTAATGAAATCATGATTTACTATTTCGTTAGTAACTACCCCTTTTAACAACTGCGATCAAAAGTAGTTAACTTTTACTACTTATATATTCCTTACTGTTTACATATATTATATGAAAATCGACAGAAGTCGATGATGACGTAAATCAATATCTGAGTTAAAATTTAGAATACTTTTTATTCATTAGTCAATAAGAATATAGATGTTACTACGTCTATTTGCGCATTCTATAATAAATTAGAATAAATTAAAAATTTTATGTTTTATATAAAATTTTATACAGGGAAATAACAATTTCTATTTTTTACTGTTTATAGAGGTGTTTCATAAATAAACAGAAATTTAAAATCTATGACATCAATCGATGACAAAAATATTAAATAAATAAAATGTTTTTTATTAAAAAGTCAACAAGAATATAGATGTTATTTCCAATATATGCGTCATTTTTAATAAATTAGAATAAATAAAAAATGCTATAAAATCTAAGACATTGGAATGATCGTAACTAAAAGTTGATAGAGAAATGTGTAAAACATTTCAATTTTTTAAAATTAATTAATCTGTAAACGATATAACATCGAAAATGTTAATATTAACCATTTTAAATTTATTGCTTCATTTCTATGTTTCTAACGCAGACCTGCCAGTAAAGTGGAACGAAGTGGTATGTTGAAGTATTTAATTAAAGTTTAATTGAATAAGTTAAATTATTATCATAGTAACTTTGCATTTGATGTTTTTTCAATTAAAATGTATAGATGAATATAAATTTTTTTCAATACAGAAGAAAAATATTTTTATATTTGTAATTATTTTTTTAATATAAGTGCGATTCCATGAGAAATTTACCACTACTTTAACTCTTTGAAGACAAGTGTTGCTTTCAGGCAACATGGACATTTTTTTGGTTATTTTAAGCATAAGTTCCTTGATTTTTAAAACTAAATATTAAACCAATGTTTTCCATTTAGTCAAATAAATTTCCAATTCTAAACTTTGGTTTTGAGACGAAAACCTTAATTAGTTTCACTGAAAAACTTGTTTAAAAATCAAAAATCTTGATTTTTTAGAAAATAATTTGGTCTTGAAAGGGTTAATTATTCAATATAAAATAATTTAAATAAAATTATTTATCTTAATTAGGAAAATTTTTTATACAATATTTAACAATATTTTTTCACTAAAGACCTATTTTTTTCTTGGGTCAGTAACTCGGTCAGTAACAAATTCTGCTGTAAATTAGGATAAATTTAAAGTAATTTTCAATTTTTTGACCTGCCTATACAACACCTGTAAAATTAGGCCGCGGCAAATATGTAGCCTAATTTTGTATGTCTATAATCCTCTCAAAGAAAAACCAATCATATTTAGCCATAAAAACTGATTTTTTACTAGTAAAAATATATGAATAAAATTTGTAAAATTCTTAACAGAATTCATAAAGAAATTTGGTACAAAATCATTCTAGTTAAATTCTATAGAAGGACCAAACTAAAATTTTTGTAGAATAATTCTATACAATGTAATAAATTTCTCTTGTAGTCGCATATATGTTTTACTTATAAACTTTAGAATTGAAAATTAAAAAATGTGTAATAATTTCTAAATATGATTTAGGAAACTGAAAGGATTGTGAAGCCAAGTGTTAGGAAATTTCAAAATTCATGGAAAAACAACATGTACCATGGACTAGTTTTTCACTACAAAAAACACTTTGGAATAATAATTAGGAAAGATACGACATTTACACTAACTATAGAATCTTCACAAAAAATTGAAAATTTTAAATTTGTCTGTCCTTTTGAAAACTCAGATAAATTTATCGAAATAAATTTTGCTGATACCCAAAATAGTACAAGAAATTTAACAACAAATCTTGACTGCGTTCCATTATTAACAGTATCATACAATGTACCAGTGGTAGTAAAAATTAAAACTAAAAATTGGTCAGTTTTACCTGTTTTTGATTCTAGAAATTTAACTTTTCTTACCTCACACAAAGCTGAACAAGAATTTTACAAAAATATTCAAACTTATGGTTTTGTTGAAAATCATCAAACACAAATGATACTGTCAGCAAACGATGTTAAAGAAATCTTATCAGAGAAGTTGAGTTTATTTGTTGGATTACAAAATCAAGCGGATATAATAAAATACTACAATTATCTAACAGGTGCAAGTCGATATGTAGATAAAAATGATTCATTATCATATTATTTAGTAGACAAGCAACGACATTTCTTCCGCACAGAAAAAGATGACTATGTGAGCGGATATTATAAAGATTCTTGGATAACACTTTCTGGTGGAGTAGACGAAGTTTTACAACAAAACCGAGCTCAAGAGTGGATTGAATTACATGAAATTGCGCATTATTATGACATACAAGATCATTCGCTTGGTTTCGGACCAAATACTGAAATATGGACAAATATTTTTTGTTTCCTCTACGAAAGTAAATTTTACTCCAACAAACAGACAGAACCAGTTAAAAATGAACTTGCAGAATTCTATCAAAAGAGTAAATCTTATGAAAGCTGGGGTTATGCAAAAAGACTACAATTTTTAGTGACTTTATTTGCCTTCGATGGTACTGATAAATCTTTCAGGGAATTTAACATTCGTTACTATTCCAAGGAAAATAAGTTGAACGTAATTACATTAATTTTAGAAGTATTTCTCGATCTTTACAATATAAATTTATTGCCATTTTTGAAAAAAGTTCTCAATTTTAAAATCGATATGCCTTTAATAAGCCCTGATGTAGAATTACGACTTTTAACTGGTCATCCTGTAATGCCTGCCATTGATTTTAATATAAAGCCAACAGAGTTAAAAGCCCGGAGTAGACAAAGCGATTGGCGTCCATCCTTACCTTTAATGTTGTTGCGAAAAATGAAGAAAAAATTGGTCGATGTTACTTTTACCATAGAATCACCAGTTGATCTCACGAATTGTTGTCTTTATTTGAATAACGATTGTCACACTATTGTTGGAAAACAAATGAATATTAAATTACAGGCCGACGTTTATTCTATTTTTATAGCCGATGAAAAAAATGGTAAAATTTACATTAGTAAAATAGACTATCACACTATTTCAAAAGAAACAAAAATTCATTTAATAGTAAATGAAATACCACAAAATGAAGTATTTTTACCTTTAGTAAATTATCATTTTTCTGCCCTCGGTCTTGGTTATGAGAATTTCTTAAACATACTTATAAACTATAAACATATGACAATAGGCTTAGAACAATTGTTAAAAGATGCTCATGTGTATTTTAAAGGCGAATTATATTTTTCAATAAGTTTAGAACGAAATGGATCTTCCATTTTTGAATACAAAATAAATGGCACTCAGGAAAATAATGAACCGCTTATAAATGTAAAACATAAATTGATGGTCAATGATAAAATTCATTTTTATCATGCAGAACCATTTCGTCTAATGTTTAATTCAAAGAAATATAATGATATATTTCATAATACTTTTATCGTTTCAAATGTCGGTTTAAAAAATGTGGAAAACAATGAATTTCAATTTATTTCTTCGGATATTAAAAGAATTGATGAATTTTATTCAAAACACATAGTGGAGTTGAGCAATAATGCATTGTATAAATTTTATTTTACACATTATATTCGCAACTTGCGTTTTAATGGCTTGGAAAAATACATTCCAAATTCTTGGGTTTAGTGGAAGACCCAAAATTTGTAACAGGGGGAAAATGTTTATTAGAAGCAAGGTTCGTAGATCATGTTAAACGAATTTTTTTTTAATTATAATTTTTCGCTACTTTTAGGACTTTAGAACTACGTTCAGATTGAAAAAATTTATCTGTTGATATATTGTTATATGATGTAATAGAGTAATAATAATAATGCTATTAAGAATAATAATTATTATTATTAACTTTCTTCTTGTATGTTGTTTACGAAATATAAACTGTGAGTAACAATTCTTCTTAATTTACTTATTAATTTTAACATAATTATTCACATTTTAAAGAAAGAGACCTAGGATGCAAAAAATCGTAGTTTATGTTTATGAACTTTGGAGATTTAATAAAATCCATTGAAATTTAAGTCTGCATTATATCTAAAATATTCAATAAAAACTGAATTGTATTTCATATTATTAAAAAGGAAGTTTTAATCAAGATAAAATAATAATAAACATAATCAAAAATTTTTGCCTCTTAGGTTTCATTTTTCAGAGTGCGGCACATATGTTTCAACTTTTACTTATTGTTTTCATTATTTTCTTAACCCTTTGCGGCATAGTGACACTCCTGAGTATCACCTTTTTTCTTGCACTTTTTTGAATACTTCAGCCACTATTTTACACATTTCAGTAATAAAATGTATTTAAAATGTATTTTAGAATATCTATTACTATATAACTACATTAAAAAAGTGTTTTTTATAAATAAAATAAATGTTATAGACAAATTAAGTTTAAAAATAGCGTTTTTTTTACAATAAATGTAATTGTGACTAAACAACAATAGGAAATAACCTAACAATAATGTTTATAAAGTTTTCGGGGTCGCTGATTATGAATCTGGCATCAGATTTTCAGAATTCAAAATGGCGGATCCAATATGGCGGATGACAAAATGAAAAATTGATCGGATTTCCTTGAAACTTGTAACTCGTGGGTTTTTGGGGGCGCTGATTACGAATATGACGTTAGATTTTCAAAATTCAAAATGGCGGATCCAATATGGCGGATGAGAAAAAGAAAAATTTATAGGAATGGCTTGAAACTTGTTACTCGGGGGGCCAAACAATTTATTTCAGTTTACAAAAAATTTCCAAAAAAGTAAAAAAAAATTATAAAAACAAAAAAATGGAGCTAAAATATCGCTACGTTCTCGTCATTAGCTCTGAGTAACGCTAAAGCGAATAAAAATCAAAATCCGATTTAACATCAGTAAGTCACGATCTTGTAACAGATCCAAATTATTTTTAACTATTTTGGGTGCCATATTATCGGATTCATCATCAGCTACTCCGAAAACCCCCAAATAACCAATTTAGAAAGGATTTTATCAATTTTAAGAAAATTGTCCTCTATATTGGATCCGCCATTTTGAATTTTAAAAAACTGACATCGGATTCGTAATCAGCGACCCCGAAAACCCCTGAGTAACCAGTTTCGAGCGGATATGATCAATTAAAAAAAATTGTCCTACATATTGGATCCGCCATTTTGAATTTTGAAAATTTTTTAAATCTGTCTTCGGATTCGTAATCAGCGACCCTTAAAACCCCCTATAAAAGATCTTGCAACAGGAGAATCGTTTACGTCTCTTACCTTTCAATTTAGAATGGGTATTACAACAATTCAAAAGCTGGTTCAGGAAAGCATGAAAATTTTATGGAAAACTCTCCAACCAGATGTGTTGAAATTTCCTTCCACTGAGGAAGAGTGGATGAAAATAATAAAAGACTTCGATGATTTGTGGCAGTTTCCAAACTGCTTTGGAGCTATGGATGGAAAGCACATTATGATGCAAGTAAATATTCTTGAATTGTAAAAAAAAATTTTTATACATAATTTTTATACGCATTCACAGTACTAAATATTCTTTATATTATTCCTTTTTTTCGTAAGGCGCAACCAAACACTGGCTCAGATTGTTACAACTACAAAGAATTTCACAGCATTATACTATTAGCAATGTGTGATGCAACGTATAATTTTACTTACGTAGACGTGGGTGGCAAAGGAAGACAGAGCGATAGTGGCGTTTTGAAAAATACAGATTTATATGAAAAACTCGCAAATGACTCATTGAATCTACCTCCAGCATCTTTTCTTCATGATAATGGACCAAGAGTTCCTCAAGTTTTCCTGGGAGATGCAGCTTTTAGTAACACCGATTATTGTCTGTGCCCATTTAAAGGGGCAGGAAAAGGAAATCTTGAAAAGGATAAAATGATATTTAATTACAGGCGAGAAGAGCAATTGAGAATGCGTTTGGAATATTAGTTGCTCGATGGAGAATATTTAGAGGACTAATAACAGTAGGATTAGTTATGATATCTATAAGTCTATAAGTGATATATAAATATATATATATATATAAGTGATATAAGTCTATAACTCTAAAAATTATTTTATTGATTTCCTTGTTTTAGATTGAGCCCATTTGTCTTAAAAATATATACGCTAAAAATTTAGAAAATGTGTTCTCAAAATTATTAAGACAATACTACTTTTCAAGTTCAAAATTTCATGGCGCAAAATAAAAAAATTCTAATTTTCCAGAAACTGTTTGATTTTTTGTGTATAAAAAAATTATTTTGAATTCAGGCCTCGAACCACTTTTAAGAAACGACAAAAATTCACTTTACTTGCATCACATTACGGGCGAATTTGACACCAAACTTTTTAAAAACATTAAAAATAATTTAAATGTTAATTTACAGAAATTTTTTTCTGAAAATTGGTATCCAGAGGTTCTTGGGGTCGCTGATTACGAATTTAACTTTAGTTTTTCAAAGTTCAACTGTGAGATATAGTATGGCGTACGTTTTTTAAAAAAAATCAATGTTTTTTCCGAAAAAATATGTTTTTTGGGGTTTTTTGGGAATCAGTAATTACTAATTTGAAGTATTATTTAAAAAATTTTTAATATTCAAAATGGCGGTTTCAATATGGCGGACAATTTTTTGAAAAATCATTTTTTTTTTTAAAATAAGGTTTCTGATTATTTTTGAAGTCACTGATTACCAATCTAAAATCAGATTCTTAAAATTATGAAAAATTAAAAAGGGCCACCTCAATAACCCTAAGATGCTTATTTTTACGAAAATCCAATATTTCTGCAAATAGAACAATATTTTTGTCACAATTCATCCGCCATATTGGATTCGCTAATTTGAATCTTGAAAAACTAACATCGAATTTGTAATAAGCGACCCGGAAAACTCCGAGTACCAATTTTTAAACAAATTCTAGCAAATTTTTAAAATATTGTCGGTCATCTTGAATTTTGAAAAACTAACATCGGATTCGTAATCAGCGACCCCTAAAACCCATGAGTACTAATTATAAAACAAATACAAACGATTTTTGAAAAAATGTCCGTATCAATGCCACGTAGGGCACGAAAAAATTTTACGCGTAAATGCGTTAATGCCAACGAAGGGGTTAATTAATTCTTGTCAAAATTATATTCCAAACACCAGTGAATGAACACTTGGAGCCAGTGAATGAACATGATGTATCAGTAAATGAACACTCGTTATTTTTAGATCATTTGCTATTTCAAATATTTTAAAAATTTAAAAAGATTTATTCTATATGACCTTTTAAACAAAGAAGTGAGATCAAATATAATCTTTAAAATATTTTCGATACTTATAGGTCAGATAGTGGCCATTTTTAATGTTAAAGTAAAACTTTTGGGGTTACTAAAACAGCGTAAATGAAATATATATATTGAAATGTAATTCGTAAATCTATTTCAAACTAAATGTAATTAAAATGTATTAGAAGTTCAAAACATTAACTCTCAAGTAATTAATGTGGAAAGGTGAAAAATATACACTTAAGAAAATAGACAACCTCGTGTTGAATGAAAGTATATTTGATAATAAAAAAATGAAACAAATTGGGTTTAGAGACTCTTGTGGTCCTTCTCTTTTGCTCGCTCGACGAGATCTGTACACTTCTCAAGCACACACTACCTTTCTTACACGGACACTCAACCGGAAGTCATTTCATAAAACAAAGGGCGCGCATTTCAAAAACATCTTAATATAATAATGAAAATTCTAACATTCGGCCAACCTTTCTAAGGCTTGTCCTCAAGCCGTCGTACATTTTAAATCTTTTATCAAAATAATTCGTAGGTACACAAATCTCTTAGACGAAATTACAGTCTTATTTAAATCACTAGAATATCAAAATATATATTATTTTTCGTAAACTCTTTTTACATAAACTCACTTTTCGAATACAATCATAGAATTCGTTTTAACGCAAAGAACAATAAAATATTTCTTATTTAAGTTAAACATTAGATTTACACATAATCATGAAAATATGCAGGTTTTCGCACCTGGCGTTTAGGTCGCATATTTTGAGAAGATACATATATTCGTTTTGCGCAATAATTGGGTCTGGATCACCTTCGGGATCACAGAAATCAGTTAAAGGAATTTCTTCCTCGTCACTCGACACACTTTTTAAGCGCGCATTTTGTTTTATGAAATGACTTCCGGTTGAGTGTCCGTGTAAGAAAGGTAGTGTGTGCGTGAGAAGTGTACAGATCCCGTCGAGCGAGCAAACGAGAAGGACCACAAGAGTCTCTAAACCCAATTTGTTTCATTTTTTTATTATCAAATATACTTTCATTCAACACGAATTAACATCCCAATTTTTCTCTTCTCGAGCCCATGATGCTGCCCGTAATGGAGCCAAAATTGTTTGGTGAGTACGTTCCGCTTGCCCATTGTCTTGTGGGTGACGGCTCGAATTAAATGTCAGTTTAATTCCCTGTTTTTCGCAGAACTCACGAAATTTTTCGGAGGTGAAACTAGTACCTCGATTACAAATTACACGAATCGGTGCTCCAAATTGGTCTAAGACTTTAGTCAAAAATTTAATCGTCAGAACGGTTTCCGTTGATTTCCATCAATTTGGAAAAATAAAGAGGGGCATTCATTTATCTGAAAATTGCTCGAGTTTTCCCAGTAAAATCCGGAGTAATGAAGGCCGTTTTAGGGGTCATCCATAAAGCATGTAATACATTTTTTCGATATTTTAACCCCCCCCTCTCCCCCTTGTGATGTTTTTTCCATTTACGATTAACATGTAGTGTGATATTTTCTAACCCCCCCTTCCCCTAAAGCATCACATGCTTCATGGATGGCCCCTTATGACGGGTTTACGGTTTGAGCCGAAGTTGCAAATATCCATTAGAAAGATCAAAAATTGCGAAAATATTTGCTTCAGAAACGATCTCAAGATACTCGTCGAGATTTGGCAATGGATATTGAATTCTCATAGTTTGACTATTCAAACGACGACTATCAGAAACTACGCGTGCTTCTCCATATTTCTTTCGTATTACAATGACAGGACTAGAATATGTTGACGTTGTATCGGTGGCAAACCCAGCTTTCTTCCAAACAGAAAAAGTATTTCGCATGATTTCGCGTTTCTCATGCGTCGCGCGATTCCGTTTTGAACAAATCGGTATGGAGCCTGGTTTCTCTATAATATCCATCTCCAATAAGGTCGTACAACCTAATTCAAACAAATTTTTTGCAATACAATGTCGAAATTCATTTATTAAATTTATTAAAACTTCACGTTGATTTTCGGTAATTTTATCTCCAGTAATCACTTCGCTAGGTAATACTGGGACACCTCCCGTTCATATAATGCTTATTGAAACTGCAATGCAATATAAGTCTTATTCAAATTTTCGTGCCATATAAGTCTTATTGAAAGTTCAGTGCTATATGGCAAGAAATTTTAGCCCTTTTTCCTGGTAATGTATTACTCTTTGCTTTAATTATTATTTTTATCTATGATCTAATTTGTAATTAAAACTTTTGTTTACATAGACTGGACTAAAGAATACGCAGTAAATAAATTTAAAAATTTAAAAGAAACTTTCATGAGAAGATGTTTATTCGAATCAAAAAATGAACCTAAGAAATCATGGCCACTCGAGGAATCATTTTTATTTTTGAATCTTAGGTTGGATCCTTCTTTGTAAGTAATTGTACAAGTATTACAATGAGGTAATTTATTGAGATAGTTATTTATAAAACCGTTTTCACAACTTGTGTTCTAAAAAGGATTTAAATATATCTCCTTCTTGTTCTTCGACACTATTCAGGAAGCAATGTACCACAGGTAAACATAATTTTTTGGTTTATTTTTCAAGAACCATAAATTTTTTAAAACTTATTTTTAAAAATACTCGGACACATGAATGACTTACTAATTTATGGATATTAACGTTTTTGTACTATTAATAAATTATTATGCTTCTTCCTATGTCAAAAATTTAGATTACAGTTTTTGCTAATATAAATTATATAGAAATGATACTCGATTTCTTTTAAATTTTTACAAAAAAACATTGCTCGATAAGAATAATTGGGAATGTTGGTGTATATTTTTTTAATAAAATTATAGAACTATAAAATAATACTTTTTTGGCAAAACATGTCATATTTTACAAAATGTTTTTAAATCTTGAGAATTGAGAATTTTCAATTTAATAATTACTGATGTACTCAGTTTTCTAAAAATTACTTGGTTTTGTTATCGATTTTGATAGTCTTTTATGCTCCCTACTTAAAATCCCTGTGTAAGATCTTGTACAATTTCCTGTACAGGATCAGCAACTGAACTTGTACAAGTTCTGACCAGTTCCTGTACAGGAAAAAGCATACGAATTTGGAACAAGTTCATGTGTGAGATCTTGTACAAGAAAGATACTTGTACAAGAAAATGTTCATGTACAATTTCATGTATAAGTACTTGTACATGAACACGTCCATGTTCTTGCACATGTTAATTCATGTTTTTATTTACTAAAAAATTAAAAATAGTTCTTACCATGCATGAGTTATAAATCTTAGTAGTTAAAAATTATCAAAATCTCAAATTTTATTAAAAAAAAATTTACAACTATACATGTGCAAGAACATGAACGTGTTCATGTACAAGTACTTATACATAAAATTGTACAAAATCATGTACATTTTCTTGTACAAGATCTTGCACCAGGTCTTGTACAAGATCTCACACATGAACTTGTTTCAAATTCGTGTGCATTTTCCTGTACAGGAACTGGTCAGAACTTGTACAAGTTCAGTTGCTGATTTTGTACAGGAAATTGTACAAGATCTTATACAGGGATTTTCAGTAGGGCTTAAAGTACATTATTCCAAAATACTTAATTAAAGTTTTAAATATTATTTTCTTCCTTAAGTTTGGAAAAATTTATTTGTAAATGAGGTCAATTCAGATATTGTGGAATCATGAAATTAAATCGGATTCTTTTTAGAATATTGTAAAACTTTTTAAATTGACTAAAACCTGGTTGCCCAAAATTAGATGACTTATTATTGATTCTAAATCTCTTCTCTCAGGTAATAGAATGAAGTTGGATGGCAACCCCGAGAATCGGTTTCTAATCCAATGCAAGCCTCCTCTGTCACATTTGTCACCTACTAATAACGTGCATGTAGAAGATCGACAAATTGATGCTGAAAACGTTAGTGATTCTAATTTTTCTGATGAATTCGCAAGTGACGAGTGCGACAGCGATGAATCTCATTCCGAAGAGGATTCAACCCAGCAGGTTTTAACATTCAGTATGTTGTAGAAAATGAAACGGAAGAGAAAGAGAAATCGAGAGCATAGAGTTGATCCATTGTGGCAAGGAAGAAGTGTGTTTGGTATAGTGGATTATTTTTTATTTATCTTTTTTTTATTAATTATTAGGAAACAGAAAGTATGAATAATTGATGTTTATGATGTATTTTGTAGGTGCTTACGCGAGTTTGGTATGTGAGATGGCATTATGCAATCATGTAATGTTCCGCAAATACACCAGGATGAGTGTAACTTCATTTGAAAAACTGCTTCTTAAAGTTGGTAATCAACTTGTTAGTACACCGACCAGACCGGATATTTTAAAGCCTTCAGAAAAATTAATAGTCACTCTAAGGTAATTGAGACTGCTTATATTCAAGATAAATAAGAAAATTCATGAGTTGACATATTATTCTTAATTACTAATTTCATAGAGCTATTATTTATTTGATTTGATGGCAGATATCTTGCAACAGGAGAATCGTTTACGTCTCTTACCTTTCAATTTAGAATGGGTATTACAACAATTCAAAAGCTGGTTCAGGAAAGCATGAAAATTTTATGGAAAACTCTCCAACCAGATGTGTTGAAATTTCCTTCCACTGAGGAAGAGTGGATGAAAATAATAAAAGACTTCGATGATTTGTGGCAGTTTCCAAACTGCTTTGGAGCTATGGATGGAAAGCACATTATGATGCAAGTAAATATTCTTGAATTGTAAAAAAAAATTTTTATACATAATTTTTATACGCATTCACAGTACTAAATATTCTTTATATTATTCCTTTTTTTCGTAAGGCGCAACCAAACACTGGCTCAGATTGTTACAACTACAAAGAATTTCACAGCATTATACTATTAGCAATGTGTGATGCAACGTATAATTTTACTTACGTAGACGTGGGTGGCAAAGGAAGACAGAGCGATAGTGGCGTTTTGAAAAATACAGATTTATATGAAAAACTCGCAAATGACTCATTGAATCTACCTCCAGCATCTTTTCTTCATGATAATGGACCAAGAGTTCCTCAAGTTTTTCTGGGAGATGCAGCTTTTAGTAACACCGATTATTGTCTGTGCCCATTTAAAGGGGCAGGAAAAGGAAATCTTGAAAAGGATAAAATGATATTTAATTACAGGCGAGAAGAGCAATTGAGAATGCGTTTGGAATATTAGTTGCTCTATGGAGAATATTTAGAGGACTAATAACAGTAGGATTAGTTATGATATCTATAAGTCTATAAGTGATATATAAATATATATATATATATAAATGATATAAGTCTATAACTCTAAAAATTATTTTATTGATTTCCTTGTTTTAGATTGAGCCCATTTGTCTTAAAAATATATACGCTAAAAATTTAGAAAATGTGTTCTCAAAATTATTAAGACAATACTACTTTTCAAGTTCAAAATTTCATGGCGCAAAATAAAAAAATTCTAATTCTCCAGAAACTGTTTGATTTTTTGTGTATAAAAAAATTATTTTGAATTCAGGCCTCGAACCAATTTTAAGAAACGACAAAAATTCACTTCATTTGCATCACATTACGGGCGAATTTGACACCAAACTTTTTAAAAACATTAAAAATAATTTAAATGTTAATTTACAGAAATTTTTTCTGAAAATTGGTATCCAGAGGTTCTTGGGGTCGCTGATTACGAATTTAACTTTAGTTTTTCAAAGTTCAACTGTGAGATATAGTATGGCGTACGTTTTTTAAAAAAAAATCAATGTTTTTTCCGAAAAAATATGTTTTTTGGGTTTTTTTGGGAATCAGTAATTACTAATTTGAAGTATTATTTAAAAAATTTTTAATATTCAAAATGGCGGTTTCAATATGGAGGACAATTTTTTGAAAAATCATTGTATTTTTTTAAAAAATAAGGTTTCTGATTATTTTTGAAGTCACTGATTACCAATCTAAAATCAGATTCTTAAAATTATGAAAAATTAAAAAGGGCCACCTCAATAACCCTAAGATGCTTATTTTTACGAAAATCCAATATTTCTGCAAATAGAACAATATTTTTGTCACAATTCATCCGCCATATTGGATTCGCTAATTTGAATCTTGAAAAACTAACATCGAATTCGTAATAAGCGACCCGGAAAACTCCGAGTACCAATTTTTAAACAAATTCTAGCAAATTTTTAAAATATTGTCGGTCATCTTGAATTTTGAAAAACTAACATCGGATTCGTAATCAGCGACCCCTAAAACCCATGAGTACTAATTATAAAACAAATACAAACGATTTTTGAAAAAATGTCCGTATCAATGCCACGTAGGGCACGAAAAAATTTTACGCGTAAATGCGTTAATGCCAACGAAGGGGTTAATTAATTCTTGTCAAAATTATATTCCAAACACCAGTGAATGAACACTTGGGGCCAGTGAATGAACATGATGTATCAGTGAATGAACACTCGTTATTTTTAGATCATTTGCTACTTCAAATATTTTAAAAATTTAAAAAGATTTATTCTATATGACCTTTTAAACAAAGAAGTGAGATCAAATATAATCTTTAAAATATTTTCGATACTTATAGGTCAGATAGTGGCCATTTTTAATGTTAAAGTAAAACTTTTGGGGTTAATAAAACAGCGTAAATGAAATATATATATTGAAATGTAATTCGTAAATCTATTTCAAACTAAATGTAATTAAAATGTATTAGAAGTTCAAAACATTAACTCTCAAGTAATTAATGTGGAAAGGTGAAAAATATACACTTAAGAAAATAGACAACCTCGTGTTGAATGAAAGTATATTTGATAATAAAAAAATGAAACAAATTGGGTTTAGAGACTCTTGTGGTCCTTCTCGTTTGCTCGCTCGACGAGATCTGTACACTTCTCAAGCACACACTACCTTTCTTACACGGACACTCAACCGGAAGTCATTTCATAAAACAAAGGGCGCGCATTTCAAAAACATCTTAATATAATAATGAAAATTCTAACATTCGGCCAACCTTTCTAAGGCTTGTCCTCAAGCCGTCGTACATTTTAAATCTTTTATCAAAATAATTCGTAGGTACACAAATCTCTTAGACGAAATTACAGTCTTATTTAAATTACTAGAATATCAATATATATATATATATTATTTTTCGTAAACTCATCTTACATAAAATCACTTTTCGAATACAATATTTTAACCCCCCCCTCTCCCTTGTGATGCTTTTTCCATTTACGATTAACATGTAGTGTGATATTTTGCTAACCCCCCCTACCCCCTAAAGCATCAAATGCTTTATGGATTGCCCCTTATGACGGGCTTTCGGTTTGAGCGGAAGTTGCAAATATCCATTAGAAAGATCAAAAATTGCGAAAATATTTGCTTCAGAAACGATCTCAAGATACTCGTCGAGATTTGGCAATGGATATTAAATTCTCACAGTTTGACTATTCAAACGACGACTATCAGAAACTACGCGTGCTTCTCCATTTTTCTTTCGTATTACAAAGACAGGACTAGAATATGTCGACGTTGTATCAGTGGCAATCCCAGCTTTCTTCGAAACAGAAAAAGTATTTCGCATGATTTCGCGTTCTTCATGCGTCGCGCGATTCCGTTTTGAACAAATCGGTATGGAGCCTGGTTTATCTATAATATCCATCTCCAATAAGGTCGTACAACCTAATTCAAACAAATTTTTTGCCATACAATGTCGAAATTTATTTAGTAAATTTATTAAAACTTCACGTTGATTTTCGGTAATTTTATCTCCAGTAATCACTTCGCTAGGTAATACTGCGACACCTCCCGTTCATATAATGCTTATTGAAACTGCAATGCAATATAAGTCTTATTCAAATTTTCGTGCCATATAAGTCTTATTGAAAGTTCAGTGCTATATAATTCTTATTCAATACAATTATTGTATTGCACGGAAACTTGAATAAGAATTATATAGCACTGAACTTTCAATAAGACTTATATGGCACGAAAATTTGAATAAGACTTATATTGCATTTTCTATTTTTAACTTATGACTCATCAATTAAATAAAACCTTATTTTAATACTATTTATTTTATTGATTTTTTTTAAATATATATATTTTTATATTTTTGCGAATATTATTTTATTCTAAAAATAAATAATTGCAAATCATAAAAGAAATTTTATATTTATTTATTTTATCAAATAGAGTAATTCCCTAGATAAATTACTAGAAAAAGACTCCAGATGTCACACCTTATCGCCCAAGAAAGTGATATATTCAAAATCGCATAAAAGAAATTTGTTTATATTAAATTGTTATTTTTGTGTTTATAATAGCGACAAAAATATGTAAGTATAAAATAATTAATTATTAAGGAATTACATTAAAGATATTGCTTATTTTCAAATAAGTGCATATATATATTTATTATAAAAATTTATTTTGTATAATTATTATTATTTATATTTTTTTAAAAAAATTATTTCTTTTCATAATTATACAATGTACATGCTATTTATAAAACATTAATAAAAAAAAATATTATAATTTGTTTTAATTAAAATCGAATAAATTTTTTATGTCCAAATTTTCCTCTTCGATATCAGGAAAATCAATGGGTCCGTTTAAAATCATCCTAATCAAATTTGCATCATCATCATGCTCTGGGAAATTAGGAGGTGCAGGAGGAGGAATTATTTCATTTTGAGGAACAATTTCCAAAAAGAAAAAATCTGGTGCTCCTGGTCTTTGGTGTGGTCTTGCAAACCTACATCTTAAATATGGATATGCTGGTGAATCCATGATTTGGATGACTTTATTTGAGACGCATGAAAATCCCCTAAACTTCATATAGCAGAAATGCCATTTGACAGAAATTTATATAACAGAAATTTTATTGGACAGAATATTTACATGGCAGACAATTCATATAACAGACTTTTCATTGGACAGACGTTTGATTGGACATAATTTTTATCGAACAGAAATGTCACTTAACAGAAATTTTATCTGACAGAATTTCCATTCAACAGAACATAAGTATAGCAGAACTCTCATTGGATAGAATATTTACACGGCAGACGATTCATATAACAGACTTTTCATTGGGCAGACGTTTGATTGGACAGAATTTTTATCGAACAGAAATGTTACTTAACAGAAATTTTATCTGACAGAATTTCCATTCAACAGAACATAAGTATAGCAGAACTCTAATTGGTCATAATTTAACTTTTGCATCATACATTCTCATTCCTGCTTTATTTTTAACTTGTCGGTAAAGTAGACGTAGAGGTCAGTAGTTGCTATTTCTTTCTCGCCCCAAAGTTTGAATATTAAATAATAAAACTAATATTTTATTTCATTATTATTGATAATGAATACCTAATAATTATAAGTAAATAAAATATTAGTTTTATTATTTAATATTCAAACTTTGGGGCGAGAAAGAAATAGCAACTACTGACCTCTACGTCTACTTTACCGACAAGTTAAAAATATAGCAGGGATGAGAATGTATGATGCAAAAGTTAAATTATGACCAATTAGAGTTCTGCTATACTTATGTTCTGTTGAATGGAAATTCTGTCAGATAAAATTTCTGTTAAGTAACATTTCTGTTCGATAAAAATTCTGTCCAATCAAACGTCTGCCCAATGAAAAGTCTGTTATATGAATCGTCTGCCGTGTAAATATTCTATCCTATGAGAGTTCTGCTATACTTATGTTCTGTTGAATGGAAATTCTGTCAGATAAAATTTCTGTTAAGTAACATTTCTGTTCGATAAAAATTCTGTCCAATCAAACGTCTGTCCAATGAAAAGTCTGTTATATGAATTGTCTGCCATGTAAATATTCTGTCCAATAAAATTTCTGTTATATAAATTTCTGTCAAATGGCATTTCTGCTATATGAAGTTTAGGGGATTTTCATGCGTCTCCTTTATTTGTTGTATCATGAATAGAAATATGGAGAGCCTTAAAGGCCCACCGGCATCTCCAACATTTTCCGGGCTTTTTAACAGAAATAAACCAGGGCAACCTCTTTCGCCACGCATGGGTGAATTCGTTAAAAGGAAATGTGTGTGATAATTAACTCCCTGCGGATTCTCGGGAACATTTCCTCTTAAAAAACAGTTGTGGCATCGCCAAGTTATATTTTCATCATTTGTCGAAAGCCATATGTCTGCTGTAAGACAGACATATATGGGGGTACTTCGCTTTCGAACAAATCCAGTAATTCC